GCATACTAAAAACTGAAAACAACAACAACAACAAAACCCCACAACTTGAAGAGACAGAGTGAGCATCAAAATTAGATCTAGCAATGATAGATATTTTGCAATTATCAAGCTGGGAATTTAAAACAACTATTATTAATATGATAAAAGTTCTCATAAAACAATCTTATTGATGACTAAAATCAAAAGACATATACAGATGCTACTTGGGTTATGATGGGATTACATCCCAATAACCCATTACAAATTAAAAATATCATTACGTTGAAAAACAGTTATTACACCTAATCTATTGAGCATCACAGTTTAGCCTAGCCTAGCTTAAACATACCCAGAACACTTACTTAGCTTATGGTGGGCAAAATCATCCAACAAAAAGCTTATTTTATAATGAAATATTGAGCATATCATATAACTTATTGAATGCTGTACTGAAAGTAAAAAACAGAATAGTTGTATGGATTCATGAACTAAGGTTTCTACTGAATGCATATCACTTTCACACAATCTTAAAGTCAAAATATCATAAATGAGGGACCGTCTGTATTGAGCTCTGTGTTCTTAAAAATACTATAATTTTCAGAATTATCCCTGCCCTTCAGGAGCTCACAGTCTATGAGAGTGGACAGAGAAATAAACAAATTTTGTACTAGAATATGATGTGATAATTGATGTAATGTTTAGTTTCTTCCCATGTGTTCTGGTGCTAGACTGCTATGACTTACCTCCTATAAGTTGCTAAGTCTCTACAGTGCCCGCTGTTTTCACATTTACCAACTCTACATGCACATTTTACTTTTAATAATAATACAAATCAATGTACTTTTCTTCATCCTTATAACTACTTCATTTCATAAGACAATTTTGATACTTTCCTGTGAATTACATACTTTATAAAGGATGGGGGGTACCAATGCAGTTTGACATGTCTCTATTATTGTGATTCTTATTCATATTTTTATTCCGTTTACATTCAGGATTAGTAACAGAGGGAGAAAATAAATCCAAAAAGCAGTTTTCCAATGATTTTATATACTTGCCATACTTGTTGTCAAAATAGATTCTATCATTTTATTTCAGTATTCATAAATTTAAATGTATACTAGTATTTTTATCACTCAAACATTTAGAGCATTTTCTTTAATTTCCTCAAATTTCAGAAAATTATTTTACTTTCTATTCCAATTAATAATTTACATCCTATTTTCAAAAGTATATCTTTAAGATATCTAATTTTGAATGCCTATATACTGCTACAGCATTGACATGAACAACATTTTGCAACAGAGAGAATGCCCTAAAAAAGGGTACAATGATTTATAAGGTGTCTCTTTATTTATTTATTTTAAGAATTAAAGTAAAACAATAATTACCTGTGGATGACAAAAGTCTTAGAATAGCCATCCTTAAAGGTACAATTGATAAGGAAATTGTTTAATTCTACTGTATACATAAATTTTACAAAACAATTATTACTGATAACATATACCAAGATAATTGGGAACATATATCAATAACAGATTTATATAAATATAACCCAAAGAAAGTTAAACACCATTTCATATTTGACAATGTTTTCCATATGACTTTTACATATCAAGTAGGCCTAATATGTCTCTCTTGGACTTCTAGGGGCCCTAATATCAAAGTTTGAGGTCAAAAAGACTAAATTACTGAATTTAGAATTTTAAATTTTGATTTTGGAAAGTTTGTCAAATATCAAAGGTTTAAACACTTATTCAAAACAGGATCACAGGTCACTGTAAAATAATATTCATTTATTTAGCCAAAATGATAATTGAAGTATTGATAAAATTAAAATCTTTTCTCTTTGATAGACAGGAGACTCAGTTTCCCAAACAATATGACAACATGAAGCAAAGTGAGAAACTGAGTCTGTCCCTACTTCCACTCTTTTTTTTAATTGTTGTTTACTTAAAAGCTCTTTTTTTAATTTCAAAAAAACTCTTTTTTAAAATTTCAGTATATTATGGGGATATAAATGTTTCGGTTACATATATTGCTCTTTCCCCCCACCTTGAGTCAGAGCTTCAAGCATTTCTGTCCCCCAGATGGTGCACATCACACTCATTATGTATGTATACACCCATATCCTCCTCCCTCCTCCCATCTGCCCAACACCAGATAAATGTTATTCCTATATGCACACATAGGTGTTGATCCAAGCTGTCTCTTTAAAAAAAACCCCACTCTTTCTGGAAATTAAAACCTACATCCCTTCCTGAGGCCAGTAATCAGAAGGGCAGGGATGTGTTCTTTGTTTCTTTGTACCACAGGAAATGTCTCAATAGTACTGTCTGGGCAGAGTTCATGATATTGCCTTCCCCAGAGATGTGGTTCATCAGGACCATAAACTATAGTTAAACAGCAATAGCCCCAAGCTTAAAAATCCTTTTAAAAGCCCTGCATTTCTGATCTTAGATAGGAAAATGGTACTTTAAGACAGGAGTCTGCCATAACTTTCATTTGTTCACAAATTAATAAACTTCCCTTTCCTTCTCCTCAAACCACTTGTTCTCATTCTTCTGATACAGCCTTGGGGACAAGGGCTGAACTTTTGGTAACAATTTCAATGTTAAATGCTTTTTCAATAAACCAAATTTCCTCTATCTTTAGTCAGTTTGGATTAACGTGATTAAATGTGATTAAATGTGATTAGTTAAATCACATTTATCTCTTTGTAGTACTTTACACAGACATTATCTCTTACTATGGTTAGTTTTGAAGTTTCATTTTGGGTTTCAAATACTTGAAAGAGTGGCTATAGGAATAGTCATCTGAACTTAATTTAGTAAATGCCTTACTAAAATATAGATGCATTATAGTCTTCTATTTAGAGGACATGTGGTTTTATAAAACTATATTATTTTTTCAAGATGTTTACATTTTTAAAATATACTAAGGTACTTATCTTTCAGACTTGATTTTTTTTATTAAAACAGAGCTCAAGTACTAAGAGATTCATATTTCAAATGTGCAAAGATATATATCAGGGGATTAATTATTTGAAGGAATTTTAGGAGTATTTGGTAGTAAATTCTTTATGTTTATAAAAACATATCATCTATAAAATAAGCATTTAATTTCTAAGTTATTTAGATTTCCAAATATCAGGCTACAATGTCAGAAGAATATAGTTAACCAAAAGGCATAGCTTGGTATTTTTCTCTTTCTATTGACTTTTTGAGTGTGAATTAAAATAAAATCTTAAGCCCTCCAGCTGACTGAATGAACTCCCTCTTGGCCAAGAGGACCCCAGAAATACCCTAAAGCTGAACTGCTGAACATGAGAAGGGAGGTCAGATATGCCTCCTCATGCCCTTTTTCCTTCTTGGAGAAATCCTTTGTAACTGATTAACAAGCCTAAGGCTTTTCAAGACAAATCGTAAGCCATACCTAAAGGTCATCAATTTACTTAGCAGATCACTTGATTCCTAGTGTATGTCTAATGGCTTATATCTGATTACTAGACTTCCTTATCTTAATTTAAAACATTCAAAGCCTTCAGACAAAGCTTCATTTTTTAACCAATTACAAATCAAAGAATCTTTAAACACACCTATAACCTGTAATTCCCTGCTTCAAAATGTCTTTCCATTTTGAGCCAAACCAGTGTATACCTTCCACGTATTGATTTATGACCTTATGTGTAATTCCTGTCTCCCTGAAATATATGAAATCAAACTGTAACCTAACCATGATGAGACCTCTTGTTCAAGGCTTCTTGGGCATGGCTCCCTGGGCCATAGTTGTACATATTCAGCTCAGAATAAACCTCTTTAAATCATTTTACAGAATTTGTTTTCTTTTCCATTGACATGATGAAGGCTATCAACCTTATTGATGTAATCTGGGCTGTCAGAAAATTAACTTCTTGGTACCAAATTCCTTCCACACTAAGGTTATTAGAGTATCTGAAATTCTTCAACAAAGATCCATCCATTGGAATCATGCAAAGAAAATCCTTTTCCTAGGGCAAGGCTGGAATTGGAGGATTCTCAGAGAAAGGGTTATATCCTTAAGAGGGAAGAACATCTCTCTTAAACCTAGGCTCTTCTCTAATTGCTTAATTAAATTCTTTTGTTTGGTGACAGTTACTGATCACTTTTCTGTTCAATTCCTTAACTTATTCCAGAAACTCCTGCTTTTAGTATTTTATTTCTGTTGTGTTCTTCCAGCTCTGAGGAGCATCTAGCTCCATGTACACTTCTAATCACACCGTGCATCTTCCTTAAATGCTGGCCAGGCCCTTAAAGTCTAATTCCTTAATCTTGCACTGTGGCACTTGACTATGCCCCCTCTGTAATTATTTAGTCTTAACCTCAGTTAAGACTGGCCAATCTATCAATGATATTTATAAAGATACATTTAAAATTCTTAATAACACAGTCTTGCCAATTGCTGTTCCCTTACTAGATTTATTATATTCATGTGCTGCAGTCAGTTTTAATAAAAGATTGTGGTCAAAAGCTATCTTTTAATAAACATGTTTTTAATAAGGAAAGTCTACTGGAAGTCAGTGTTAATGTACTTGAGGACAGTTCAAATTTGCTAAGAAAGCAGATTCATTCTCCTTGAAAATACAATACTCTGAACCCAACCCTGAAAGTAGTACTATGTCCTTGGACAAGAGAAAAGTTCTGCCAAGACCCTGACAGTATTAAGTAATTCCTCCACTGGCATGCTCCTTCCAAATGCATTAAGACATTAAAGGACAATACGTTAAGTCACTTGCACCTTAGTGTGGATCAATTCATCAGAATATTTTCCTCCTGAAAGGAAAGGCTGAGGGTGCAAGTGATGGATGGACACAAAGGGGTAAGGAAATGCTGAGAAAAGTGCAGTATATACAGACAAAGAAGGAAAAAATCCCTGAAGATTAACTTCTTCAACCTTATTTTAACCATGTAATATTCTGTTATTCACTGCATTTCAAAGAAAATGGAAAAGGTATTACAACAACCACCACCAATAATCCTTACCATAAATCCAGATATGCATAAACATTTCAAGCCCAGTTCATTTTCCATGCACGTTCCATGAGCACATGAGTTGAGAATACATTCATCAAGTTTGTTCTCACAGTGGTGTCCAGACCACCCTATTAAACAAAATTTCAAAATAGATATTCAATTTTTAATTATGATAATAATAATAGCTTATAATAATTGGCTCTTACTATTTGCTATACCTGTGTTAGGTGTTTTATACAAATTATCTCAGTTTATCTTTATGATCATTTTACCAGGTATCTATTATTACTGTTTCTATTTAGTACATGAGGAAATTAAACTCAGAGAAGATAAATAATTTGCTCTAAAATCACACAGTTATGTATAAATGAAAGCAAGTGTATGTAAGATAAGAATTCTTACCCATGGCATATTTAAATGTTTGTACTTATTTTACCTTGGGATAAATACATGGAAGGCAATAGAATAAACACACTCTATAATTCCACTTAATATGAATCTTAAATTCAACTCTCAACTACTACAGATATCTAGATGTACAACATTTTCTTGTAATACTTGTAGAATTTTGCAGTTGGTAATTCTTGCTTTGTGGTTCCATGGCATATAAATAATGTGTCTATGCTCAGCTGTAAGAATTCTCCTTAAACATAATAATGTAATTTTTCACCCAAAATATTATTTGACTGTGTATATTTTAGATGGCTTTTGCTATCAGTTCATCACTTTTGTCATCAACCCAGCTACCAATATATTGCTAAAGTCTTCACAAGATAACATCTTAGCTATGGTTACATATTGGGAATAGTTTTTGAACCAGTGATTATTTTTGATCAGACAATTATTTAAATCTAAATAATAAATCTAAATATGTTTAACATGTTAACCACAACATCATGTCAACTTAAACATACCATTCTACACAGGGACAGTAGGTCTTTTGAGGCAGCTCTCACTGCTTGTTGACTAACTATGCCTGCTATAATTGCTACTTTTAAACTTTTTTTAATTTTTTTTATGTATTATCCAACAGCATGTAATCTGAACCCTGGCTATTGGGAAATGCAAAGTTTGATTCTTATTCCTACTTTGCAATATATTTTCATTGTGTTCTTACCTCATAAATTATAACAGAACAATTAAATACATATTCTGGGGTGCTTAGAAATGATTTATTGCAATACTGCATTACAAGAAAAAAAAATAAGGCCTGAGTTTAAAAGACTTGGCAATGTTCACATCAAACTTAGAAGTAGCTGCCAAAAGACTAAATTTATGAAATCTTTGTCCAAGACTCTCTCCACTTTGCGATGCTCTTTCATGTACTGAGCTGATTCAGTAGGGATGTCTACTAAGGAAGCTATAAAAGGTGATACAGAAAAAACATTTTTTCAGGGCTTATAAAAAGCCACTATGATCAGTCCTTCAAGAGGTTGAGTCTAACAAACATATTGTTGAGCATAAAAACATTTTCCATGAAAATACTTACATCCTGATAACTACTCTTCTATAAGTCAAATACATATGAAACTTAACAACATTGCTTAGAAATACATACGTATATAATAAAACTCTAAGAAATATTGAGGGAATGTTGAATATAAAAATCAAGAATAGTTACTGCAGGCTGTGAGGATACTCAGGGAGTGATATAAGGAAGCTAAAATTATTGCTACTATTATATTTCTAAAGGCAAATGGAGTATATACAAATTTATTATATTATGTATTATATATATGTTACATATTCTTTGGTTGAATATTTCAAAATATATTTTTAAACAAGTAAACATAATGATATCATTATTCTTTTGTTTCTAATGCTATAAAGGACATGACAAAACTTTAAACCATAAAATGGGAATTGTAAAAAAAACCAAAAAAAACAAAATTACACTGGACCAGTTAAACAAACAAAAAAGATTTTATTCAAGAGTATTTCAAGGCCAGGGAGATTTTCCTCCATTATATACTCAAATAGTTTATCAAACCCTTGTGTATTTTATTCTTCACCCTCAGGATGTCTATAATTCTCATGTCAGGCCTCTTCGTATAATCCCACATTTCTTGTAGGCTTTGCTCTTTTTTCTTATTTTTCTGCTTTATCTTTGCAACTGACTTACTTGTTTAATTGGCAGATATTATCTTCAATCCCTGAGATTCTTTCTTCTGTTTGATGTACCCTATTCTTGAGGCATTCCACTGTGTTTTGTAATTCCTTGAATAAATTATTCATTTACAGATATTCTGTTTGATTTTTCTTTAATATTTCAATTTCTTTAGTAAATTTTCCTTCCAAGTACTGGATTTTTTTGTGGTTTCTTTGTGTTGGTTATCCATTTTCTCTTGCATATCATTGAGTTTTCTTACAACTCATGTTTCAAATTCTTCTTTTGTCAATTTAGTGTTCTGAATTTGGTTGATGTCCATTGCTAGAGAGCTGGTGTTTCCCTTTGGGGGTGTGTTTTCTCTTTGATTCTTCATGCTTCCAGAGTTCTTGCACTGATTCCTTCCTATCTGGAGTAGCTGTTGCTTCTTACCTGTGGATTTTTGTTTAGATACTGACAGGCCCACTTTTGTCTCTGAGCCAGCAGGTGGTGCCTGTGGGTGAGAATCCACCACACTCTCAGTAACGAGTCAGTAGATGTAGTAAAAGAGTATGCAATTTGATCCCTGTCAGTAGGTGGCGCTTGCTGGGAGGAGCAGGCTGCCATGTTGTTTTGGGGTCCTATAACCAGCTCTCCTTCCCCTGGAGAGGCACTCTAGTGTCTCAGGTTGTGGGAGGAGCCCAGAGACTTCCAGGCATGTCCTTATTCTCCACCTCAGCAGGGGCAGGTGGGGGAGTGATGCTGGGTGGGGCTGGGTTTGGTGAGTCTGACCTCAAGCTCCAGAAATGCTTCCAGCAGGAGTCAAAGATCTTTGCTTCTGGGCCAAGCTGTTGGAGTGGGTGGTTGAAATGGGCCCGCTCAGGCAAAAGGTTTGCATGTTGGGGAAGGCCTGTCTGAGAGCTGCAGTTCAAAGCAGGCCTTGCTCCTTTCCACTCTCCCCTATTCCATGGTTTCTCTTGGTCCTCTGCTAGCAGTCAGGACTTCAAGCCAGTGGTGCTCCCCTCACTGTGATGTGAACTGGGAAGTTCCCTGCCCAGATTGACGGTCTCAGAGAGTGGCCATCCCAGGGCCCTAGAACCCACCCTGATCTGCCCCTGAAGGCACACACACCTCAGGAGACTAGTGCCCTTCTGTCCCCCCCGGGCAATATGACCAGACGTGGGTGTACAGGATCTGGCCTGCAAGCCTGTCCCCTGGGCCCTGCCAGGGAGAAGAACACTGGTCCAAAGTCACCCATGGGGTGCCTAAGCTATAGCAATGTCTCTCTGTCTTGGCGTTTTCCCCACTCTGCTGGAGTCACCAGGAAAGCAGCACCAGGGAAGGCTGGCAGGGAGGGAGCTCACAGTCCAAGTACCCATCCAGTCCATTGCAGGGCCCCAAAAGGGAAGGTCCCATTCTCTGTTGATGCCTCTGGGAGGTGGCTAAATTGTCTCTGTCAGCAGCCACAGGTAGGAGCTGATAACTAGAATCTATATAGAACTCAGGAAAGTCAACAAGAAAAGAATCAAATAACCCCATTAAAAAGTGGGCAAAGGATATGAACAGAAACTTTTCCAAAGAAGACAGAGTATGGCCAAGTAACATTAAAAAAATGCTCAATATCTCTAATCATTAGGGAAATGCAAATCAAAACCACAATGAGACATCATTTAACTCTAGTAAGAATGGCTTTAATAAAAAATTCCCAGAACAACAAATGTTGAGTTGGATACAGAGAGATAGGAAGACTCATGCAAGGAAGGTGGAACTGCAAACTAGTACAACCTCTGTGGAAAGCAATATGGAGATAATCTTAAAGCGATACAAGTAGATCTAACATTTGATCCAGCAATCCCATTACTGGACATCTACCCAAAAGAACAAAAGACACTCTATGAAAAAGACATCTGCACTTGAATAGCAGCATAATTCATAATTGCAAAGTTGTGGAAATAACCCAAGTGTCCATCAATACATGACTGGATTAATAAAATGTGGTATATATATACCATGGAGTTCTACTCAGCCACAAAAAACAATGATGATCTAGCACCTCTTGTATTATCCTGGGTAGAGCTGGAGCCCATTCTACTGAGTGAAGTATCCCAAGAATGGGAAACAAGCACCACATGTACTCACCATCAAATTGGTACTAACTGATCAACACTTAAGTGTACATATAGTAGTAATATTCATCAGGTGTCAGGCAGGTGGGAGGAAGGCAGAGGTGATGGATACACTCACACCTAATGGATGAGGTGTGCACCATCTGGGGGATGTACACACTTTAAGCTCCGACTCAGGTGAGGCAAAGGCAATATATGTACCCTAAACATTTGTATCCCCGTAAGATGCTAAAATAAAGCAAATATTAAAAATTTAAAAAGAAGAGTATTGCAATACAAGACAGGGATGTTTACAATAAGGAAGAGAACTTGAAATCAACTAAAACAAATGAAGCAGGAGGATTTTTAAATGCTGGTCTGAGCTCAGGTGAGCTGGAGTGAGTACTGGAGGATGTTGGGGTGGGAAAAAGTTGGTGAATGTGATTAGGCCACCTGTGTTTGCTAATTGTCTCTTACTGAAGTTAGCTTCTACTCTCCCACAGAGACTGGGAAGTAAGGGCACTATGTTCTTCCAGGACTACATTTTAAAAGGATGACTCCCAAGTCCTTGAAAAAGATATTTCTGGTTTGTAAAAGTGGCAAGAAGCTGGGGAAAAATTTACATCTCAAAGGGACATAGAAAGAATTTACAACTACAAATTTTCTAAAGTAAATGTTCTAAGAAAAGGGAGGTCAGGGGCTTATAATCAGGATGAAGAATTTCTAAAGCTTAGTAAAGCTAAGGAGAACGTTAAGGACATCTGAGTCAAAAATAACAGACTAGGATAGAAAATAAGTTAGTCAGGGTTCAGCACAAGAAACAGAAATCACTCTAAGTATTTAAGCAAAAAGGCTCATAATAATGGAATTAGATGCTTACAGAATTATCAGAAGGGAAGGCAGTAGGAGTAACTACAAGAACCACAGATATGACTTTCTAGGAGATGCCTCCTTAGTCAGAATCAGGAAGGTGACAAATATAAAAGCCATCATTAGAATTATTGAGTTCAAGAACCCATTGTGCTAATCCGAGGAAACTGGATTACCGGGAAGCTGCCAACTCAGCACCCCTACACATTAAATCAGTGACTGCTGATTTGAGATCTGCTAAAGAAAAAAAAATCACACATTTCCATGACCTTCTTTAACAGAAGAAACTGCTAAAACATCCAGAAATGGTCTCCATCAGAGCCTCCGGATTTCAGGTATGTTTATTATTGGTGGAATCTAATTGTATTCACAATCTCAGCTTTAAGAAAGTCTAGAAATTGTAGTTTCAAATTTTTCTTCCTCTGTAGTACAGAAAACTACATTATACAGTAATGGATGCCCAGCATGTAAAAAGAAAATCAAAGCCTCAAGACCTCCTGCCCTCTAACTCCTTATGCAAAAGAGAAGGCAAAAGCCTCAGGTACCTGTGAAAAATTGGCCCCACAGATCATACATTAACGAAATGCCTTGCTAACCTCCCATAAGCAAGGACATGCAAATTGTACCTATGTCTAGCACCCAAAGCTAAAGCCTGTCCAATTTCACACTAATAATGAATTACAAATTTATCTTACAGGTAACAGAACTGGAGACAAGACAGAATCAGACATTCTTCCACATTCCACCCAGCGTATCTACATGGCTGATGCTTCCTTCACTCTCTTATTTTATGTAAAATGTAGGTTTGATGTCCATTTGTAATAAGGTAACCAAATATTCGAAAATACTGGTTGGTGGTTAAAAATAAGAAACTAAAAGTTGTTGTTATCAATCCAGGTAAAGTAATAAAATTATTATGGTGTTAAGCTAATAGTATTAGTCTAATATCTGACTCATAATAGCAAATACATAAATGCTTACAGAATAAAATGATGCAAAATAATCCAGGCACAAAATAAAGATTACTATAGATGACACATTGTAATAATAGTAGAGTTATTTTTAAATTGAAGACTAAATCAAATCTCTAAATACATCAATATATATGACTGTTAATAGAAACAGTGACCAGTTTTAATACTACCATTCTATAATAAGCAGTTATAACAATAGTTCTAGTTTATTAATGAAAATATAAGTCACTATTTCAAAGATTTATGGATCTTATTTTCATTTCCTTTTGCCTCTCAGCCCCTAGTGATTTGCATCTAATCTCCTGGGAATAGAAAATAAAATTAAACCTAAATTTAAAATAATTCTGTCTTAGTAGTTAATATATTATCTAGTAATTGGATAACATAAAACTATTTTTTCTTAGTCTAAGTCTAGATTATGTAGAAGAATTAATTTTTATATCTAAATCTTCATGAAAATATACTATATACTTATTTATTTAATATTAAAGATTAGTTCACTTTTCATGGGTCTTGATTAAAAAGAAAGATTATTTGGTATCTCTTCTGTTCTAAATACAGAAGTCCGATTTCTGACAATAACTGTGAGTACTAGTGGTAGATATTATCTGTGTTTGTTTCTCTATTTCCTTGCCCCAAGGACAATGTAGCATTTCTGCTTCAAAACGAATTATGCCACTTTAAGAACAAAATGTGCATCTGCAGTTTGCATCATCACCAGTGTAAACACCATTGCACCCCTCCTGGGTATAAAAAGTATCTGGGCATAGTGACTGCCCCAGGGATTGAGAACAACTCTGGCTGAAGCATTCACATTTGCAATACAAAAATTGTTTCCTGTCACTTTCAATTTGCTCACAATGGGATAGCTCTGGTTTCACTTACTGAGTGTTAAACATTATTAGGTAAGATTATAAATGGGACTATTTAGGCTAAAGCAAAAGTAAGTGGGTGTTTATTTTTGCAAAAACAATCTGAATACTTGTATTGATACTTCACTGGAAATGAGTTTACTAAGCCATTCAATTCACTACATAGGTACAAGATAAACTCTGTGATTAGGGCTGTCCTAAATGGTGTTCAAGTTGTTCCTTTCATGAAGACTTCATGAAGAGAGGATGAGTAAGGTCTGAAATCTAACCTGTGCTCCACTTGCCAAGCATTACACCTTGTTGACATAAATATATAATTTTTTTGGAAAGAGAGAGGGAGACGGCTTTAAGCTAGCCGTGGTCCTGTCAGTGACTAGATAGCCTTGGCCAGCATCATAACTGAACTGAACTTTTTCAGTATATGTCATGCTGTTTGGGTTACTATAGCCTTGTAGCATACTTTGAAATTGGGTAATGTGATGCCTCTATATTTTTCTTTTTACCTAGGATTGCCTTGGCTAGTAGGGCTCTTTTTTGATTCTATGTGAAATGTAGGATTGCTTTTTCTTGTTCTGTGAAAAATGACATTGGTATTTTGAAGGGAATTGCATTGAATCTGTAAAATAACTTTGAGAAGTATGGAAATTTTAACAGTGTTGATTCTTCCAATCCAAGAGCATAGGATGTTTTTCTATTTGTGTCATCTATGATTTCTTTCATTGGTATTTTGTAGTTCTCCTTGTAGAGATCTTTTGCCTTCTTGGTTAAGTATATTCCCAGGTATTTTATTTTCTTTGCAGCTATTATAAATGGTATTGAGTTCTTGATTTGATTCTCAGCTTGACTGATTCCCATGACTAAGTTGTGAAGAGTCTAACTCTTAAGTCAAAAGTATCAGCAAGTTCTGAGTAACACCTAGCAGCACAGATGGATATTAGTATTAGGTCTTGTGCTTTCCACTATGCGTTTGATAAACCACAATCAGCACAGGGCTTCATTTGAATGCTGCAATGGCTTCAAAATGGCTCCAAATTCCAAGTGAATTCAGAGTAAGTGGAATCTTAATCTATAGCATCAAGACCAATCTAGCACTTTTAAGATATTTATTAGCATAAAAAGAATGAAACTAGCAGTTATAAGATACTTATGGATATCATAAACATAATTTATGTAGAAATTTTACTTTTTAACTGTTTCTGTAGTAATATTTTCATTACTTATGGTAGCTATGATAGGGCTATAAGTGTTCAGACCTCAATAAAGAGATGTTTGCTTGAAAGAGGAAAAACTTTTGAAATGACATTCATTTCTTATAGCAGAAAACTATAGTCTTTATTCTAATTCTTTTCCTGCAAAAAGTTGCAGTTTTAGTATAGGTGGCTATGCTTTGTAGATGTTTTATGGGACCAAATAAAATCTAGAACCAGTACTAAGCATTCAAAAAACAGAGCAGGGCTCTGAGTGAATTTTGAATTTGTAAACAGTATGTGGGTGATACTTAGTTGATAGGTATTCACTAGTTTGTATGACTTCACATAAATCATACAAGCCCTAATTCCCACAAGGCTGCCTGGATGTTATTCACTCCATGGACCCAATAACCATAAGCCCAGAACCCTGTGATATTCCTAAGCTTTCTGAAGTCTTCTCTAAGGTCTGTAAAATAGTGAGAATTTTTTTATAGACATGGAGTCTTCCTGTGTTCCTGTGTTCCCCAAGCTGCAGTGCAGTGACTATTCACAAGTGTGATCATCATGGTACACTACAGCTTCAAACTCCTGGGCTGAAGTAATCCTCCTGCCTCAGCCACCCAAGTATCTACAAGTATGCACCACCACACCGAGCTTAAGAATATTTTCAAGTGCCCCAAAATATCCCCACATATATTCTTGAAAGATTATTGCTGCTTAAGGAAATTCAGGCCTTTCAACATCACTTTTGGGTGAATGTAACTGAATGTTGAAGATGAGTTGCAGAACACAGAAAGAAAGCAAGAAATTTGAAAAATTAGAGAACTAAAGTAAAAAGGGAAAAACATGCATGAACACAAATTATTTATATCAATATAATAGAATGAAATATGACCAAGGGTTAAAATGGCCAACAAACAAACAAACAAACAAACAAAAAACAATTATCAATGAGCTGCTTTCTCAGACCATTCAGCACTGCTACAACAAAAATACCATAAACTGAGTAACTTATAAACAACAACAATTTATTTCTCACGGTTCTGGAGGTTAGAAAGTTGAATATCATGTTGCTGAGAGATTTGGTGTTTGTTGAGGGCCTGCTTCATAATTCTTACATGGTGCCTTCCAGCTGTGTTCTCACATGGTGGGAGAGACCAGTTCACTCTCTGAGCCTCATCTAAAAGGGCACTAATCCCATTCACAAGAGAGCTCTGCTCTCATGATGTAATAGCTTCACAAAGGCCCTGCCTCCTAATACAGTTATACTGATGATTAGTGTTCCACATATGAATTTTAGAGGAACACTGCTATTTTCAGAAAATAGCAATTATTTCTTGAATAAAACCAGTTTGTTCAGCTTGTCCATGTCTGTGCTGATAATTGTTGGAAGAAACAATAATGTCAGTATTAATCAAAGCTAATGTTTATAAAGGACTTGCTGCGTGCAAGGCATAATTGATATAAAGGTGAAGAATCTGAAGCTTACATAAATTTATAAAATCTGTCTAGTAAGAACATTAGAATTTCTCACTGATATCCCAAGTGATTGTTCTCTAAAATCACTGAACATTCATTTCGTGTTTGTTTAATCATGGTTATGATTTAGAACTTTAGAACTTGATTGATAGTCAACAATACTTTTGGTGGAATGGATTGTCAAGATTGTATCATATCCACATATTCATATATATCTATATGAACATATATAGTATTATATATGTAGTATGCTTGATTATTATTTTTCAATAATTACCTACCTTGTTGATATTTGCAAATATATCCATTGATGTGATCTTCACAGTTTGCGCCATGTAGACATGGTGATGAAGAGCACTCATTTATATTAATTTCACAAAATTGACCAGAAAATCCAGGAAGACATCTAAAGAAGAAAAGTAAAATATATATTTTTATATATTATACACATGAACAATATTACCTTTCACCTTGGGATTCTGTCATTCAAATGTGTTTTCAGAGCTCCAACAACATGTAGCTGGGAGCCTGTCTTAGGGTGATATAATGGATTGAATCGTGGCCCCAAAATAATATGTCCAAGTAACAACATGTAGCTGTGAGCCTGTCTTGGGGTGATATAATGAGTTGAATTGTGGTCCCAACATAATATGATCAAGTCCCAACACTCAGCACCTGTAAATGTAATGTTATTTGGAAAAAGTGTCTTTGCAGATGTAACTAAGTTAAGTATCTTAAGATGAAGTCATCCTGGATCAAGTAGGTGGTCCCTAAATCCAGTTTCCAGTGACCTTATAAGAAGAGGAGACACACAAGGGAGAAGGCTATGTGAAGATGGAGACAGGGATTGATGTCATGCAGCCCCAACTCAAGGAGCACCTCGAGCCTCTGGATACTGAAAGAGGAAAGGTAGGATTCCTCCTTAGCACCTTCAGAGGGAGCATGGCCTTGCTGGCACCTTGATTTTGGATTTCTTGTCTCCACAAATGTGAGCAAATACATTTCTGTTGCTTTAAGCTACCAAGTTCATGATGATTTGTTATGCCGATCTTAGGACATTAATACAGGAAATAATATTAATGTGTGCGTCTGCTGAAATACAAGTGAACAATTTTGAAAGAAATAAAACAGAGATCTCTAGGATTCTCTTAGGATAGAAAAAATTGGGGCACTTCATGAAAGGTATGCTCCATAATTGAAAGAAGAAATGTGGAAAGAGATAACTGGGGGACTAGGTCAGAGGTTTCTGGTCTCCACAACTGTGAGCAAATAAATTTCTGTTGCGTTAAGCTTCCAAGTTTGTGATAATTTGTTATGTCATTCCTAGGGAACTAATACAGGAAATGACATTAATGTGTGTGCCTTCTCAAACCCGAGTGAACAATTTGAAAATAAATAAATAAATAAAACAGAGGTATGTAAGAGGCTCTTAGAATAGAGAAATTGGAGGCATTTCATGAAAGGTATGCTACATAACTGGAAGAAAAAATATGGAAAGAATCAATAGGTCAGAGGCTATTGTATAATATTTTCTCATTATTATTTTAGAGGAATAATTTTATATAAACCAACTAGATGCCAGTTGTCATACTATGCTTCAAGAACCTATGGAGGATCTGCAAACACTTATTAAAATGCAATGTTCATGAGCAATTGTTACACATTTACCCAGTGATTGTGATATGGCAAATCTTTTATGAATGCTAAGAATACAAATACAAAAAAAAAAAGCAAAACTTTGTGTCTCCTTTCAAGAAGCACCCACACTAGTTGGGAAAACAGACAAATAACGAACACAATAATATGATAAAATGCTATAATCAGCATGTGGAAACATGCATTCCTAGTAAGGCAAAGAGTGTATCCAAGAGTAAGAATGAAAAGAGTATGGGTTAATCCAGATATTGAAAGTAGTTTTATTTATTTATTTTTCTATTTGTTTTTTATTTCAGCATCTTATGGGGGTACAAATGTTAAGGTTACGTATATTGCCCATGCCCCCCCTCCCTCCTCGAGTCAGAGCTTCAAGCGTGACCATCTCCCAAACATTGCACAACTCACGCATTATGTTTGTATATACTCGTCCCCTCCTCCCCCCTCCTACCCACCCAACACCAGATAAATGTTCTTCCACTTAGGTGTTGATCCATTAATGAAAGTAGTTTTAAATGGCTTAAATGTATTATGTGAGGGCACAATTGGGTGATGCAGGTGAAAAAAGATAAACTAATAAACATGGATTAGATTATATAGTATTAGATCATAATTTTTATGATTGCTAATATTTACTGAAAACTTACAATAAGTAACTTTACCAAGGTCACAGGACTAGCAAATTGCAAAGGTAGAATTTAAAACCAGACAGTGTAATTCCTTTTTACACAACCTGTACTCATCAGCTTGCCAAATTTAGCCACTGTGTTTTATTTGCATAGACACACAGATACTTACTTAGGTGATGTAAGAACTGAATTTTGTGTTTCATTGCAACTGGCTCTACTCAGCCAAAGCTAGGAAACTATGAATAATAAATGATCCTGAATGTTAGTGACTCCATTGTGCCGGACCCCAACTGGACCTAACTTCAAGATCCTTTCCTGACCAATAAACAGCAAGACCTTTTTAACTGTGTGTGGATTTATGGATGGACTCATTTTGCACTATAAAGATGAAAACTTCAATATTGAATTGCCACTGAGACCATGAACTTCCTCTTATTTGTATAACAAAGAAAAACCCATGACATTTTTTCTTTCAGAGGAATTCTTCACTGGTGATGTTCTTTTATGTGCAAAAGAAACAAACTCAGGGTTAATTTTGTTAATAATTGAAGTGTTCATTGTCTTTCTTTTGATATCATAAATTGTTCTTCCAAAGTACATTATCAATTTAGAACTTGCCAGCATTATATGAAATGCTAATTTGTCTACATTCTTATCCATCAACAATATTAATATTTTTAAATTTTCACTGCAAAGGAAAAAAAAACTACGTACCTTGTAGTGTTTTATTTTTTTGGAAAGGGCTAATGTTTTAAAATTTTTAATAGACTTTTTATTTGGAATTATTTGGAATAATTTTAGATTTGCAGAAGAGTTGCAATAGTAGCACAGAATGTGTCCATACCCCGTTTCCCTTATTGTTAACATCTTACAATAATATGGCACATTTGTCACAACTGACACGATATTGATACATTATTACTAAAGTCTATATATCATTAGGTTTTACCTAGTTTTTTACCTAGTGTCCTTTTTATCTGTTCCAGAATCTCCTGAGGCATATTTCCTTATTTTTAAAGATCTTAACTGTTTTGAGGAGTATTGGTAAATATTTTGAACACTATACTTTTTTTTTTTTTTTTTTTGAGACAGTCTCACTGTGTTGTCAGGGCTAGAGTGCCGTGGCATCAGCCTAGCTCACAGCAACCTCAAACTCCTTGGCTCAAGCAATCCTTCTGCCTCAGCCTTCTGAGTAGCTGGGACTATAGGCATGTACCACCATGCTCCGTTAATTTTTTCTATATATTTTTAGTTGGCCAATTAGTTTCTTTCTATTTTCAGTAGAGACGGGGTCTTGCTCTTGCTCAGGCTGGTTTCGAACTCCTGACCTTGAGAGATCCTCCTGCCTCGGCCTCCCAGAGTGCTAGGATTACAGGCGTGAGCTACTGCGCCTGGTCTGAACACTATACTTTAAATTAGGTTTTTTTGATGTTATTTTCATGGTTATACTGGTGTTATGTTTGGGGAGAAAGACATCATAGATAAAACCCATTCTCATCACATTATATCAAGAGTACCCTTTAGCAGGAAGGTGCTACACACATCTCACACCTAAGGGATGTGGAGTTATGCTTCACCTCCTTAAAGGAGAAGTATCTACATAGTTTGAAATTATCTGTCTGTGTTTATATATATATATATATATGTATATATATACATATATATAGTCATTAAATATGAAATGTCAATTTCAAATCAATAGTTTAGTTTATTATGTCTCAAACAGGAAGCAGTTCAATTAATCAAAGTACATGCCTAAACTATTGACACAGCTTTGCCATCTTAATGATGCCAGCAGTGAAGAAGCCTGGAAAGCAGTGGTGATGAAATCATGAAAGGTGTTTTCCACAGCTTGTTTAGAATTGAATATTTTTCCTTGCAAAAAGTGATCCAAAGCCTGGAAGAAGTGGTAGTCAAATGATGCAAGGTCTGGTAAATACAGTGGATGACAGAGAATTTCCAAGTCCAGTCTCTATAGTCTGAGTGGCATTGTTTGTGCAACATGTGGTCCAGTGTTGTCTTGCCAGAGGATTGGCCTGTCTCTATTGACCAATCTTGGCTGCTTAATCTCAAGCATCCTCATCATTTCATCCAGTTGGTTGCAGTAGACATCTGGTGTAATGGATTGACCAGGTTTCATGAAGCTGTAGTTGATAATACCAGCACTGGACCACCAAGCAGACACCATTAGCTTTTATTGATGAATATTCAGTTTGGGATTGCGTTTTGGCACTTCATCTTTATCCAACCATTATGCTGAATGCTTGCGATTGTCGAAAAGAATCTATTTTTCATCATATGTAACAATATGGTGTATAAGTGGTTCGCCTTTATGTCATGACAGCAAAGAAAGGCAAGATTCGAGATGGTTGCTCTTCTTATGCTCATTTAATTCATGCAGAACCCATCTATCCAGCTTCTTTATCTTGCTGATTAGTTTCAAATGGTCCAATATTGTTGGAATAGTAATGTCAAACTTTACTGCTAATTCATACATAGGTTGAGATGGATTCACTTCTACTACAGCTTTTAGCTCATCATTATGCACCTTGGTGTCAGATCACCCACGTGGCTTATTTTCAAGATCAAAATCAACAGAACAGAACTTCTGGAACCATTAACATACTATGTGTTCATTAGTCACATCTTTCCCAAACACTTTCCTGATATTTCGAGCTGTCTGCACAGCTTTGGTTCCTTGATAGAACTTAAATTAAAAAACCACACACATTTTTAACTTATCATAGTTTCACAAAAATTGCTCCAAAAATTTTTTTAAAGATAATCACGAGCCCAAAGCCATATGTATGAAAGAACGAGGATGTACTTTCACAATAAAAATAAAATAAGAAGTGTCAAAGTGAAAATGTCAGAGATGTCAACTGTTAAACTTAGTACTTAAGAAAATTAGACATTTCATACTTAATGTCCTAATATATAAACTTTTCTGGGATTTGAAGTTGAATTGCTTTGAGTCTACAAATCAAGATGGAAAAAGTGGTATTTAACAATATTAATTCTTTCAATTTGTGAATAGGAAATACCTCTACATGTACTTGGATCTTCTTTGATTTCTTTCATCAGTGTTTTATAGTTTGCCACATACAGATATTATACATATTTT